CTTTTCTGTTGCTGGGGTTGCAGCAGTACCGTGGGTCAGTACGGTAGTACCGCACAGCCGTGCGGTAATACAGCTTGGTTGCAAGTAGTAGTACCGCGCGCCCTTGCGGTAGTACTGCTGGCCAGGCACGATAGTACCGCTGGCCGCGGGCTGGTTGGTGGGTAACGGTTGGATCCTTTTCCCACACTATATAAGGGGTCCCCTTCTTCCCCGTTGACTTATCTCTTCCACCCCCAAGCTCCATTATTTCTCTAAGCTCCATTTTCGCCCAATCTCCCTCACTAGCCGACCAAACTTGTTGATTTGCTTGGGAGTGGTTGAGAAGGCCTCGATCTACACTTCCACCAAGAGATATTTGATTCCCCCCCACTAATCCCTTGCAGATCTTGTTACTCTTGGATGTTTGAGCATCCTAGACGGTTGAGGTCACCGCGAAGCTATAGTCCATTGTGGTGAAGCTTCGTGGTGTCGTTGGGAGCCTCCAATTGAGTTGTGGAGATTGCCCCAACCTAGTTTGTAAAGGCTCGGTCACCGCCTCCAAGGGCACCAATAGTGGAATCACGGCATCTTGCATTATGTGAGGGCGTGAGGAGAATACGGTGGCCCTAGTGGCTTCTTGGGGAGCATTGTGCCTCCACACCGCTCCAACAGAGACGTACTTCCTCTCAAAGGGAAGAAACTTCGGCAACACATCCTCGTCTCCACCGTCTCCATTCTTGGTTATCTCGTGCCTTTACTTGTGCAAGCTTATTTGTTTCATATATCTTGCTTGCTTGCGTTCCTATCCTTGTTGCATCATATAGGTTGCTCACCTAGTTGCATATCTAGACAACCTACTTTGATGCAAAGTTTAAATTGTTAAAAAAGCTAAAAATTGTTAGTTGCCTATTCACCCCCCCTCTAGTCAACCATATCGATCCTTTCATCTGGTTTTCCAGACATGTCTGAATCATGCGCTGATATGTTGCGCCGGCGTTTTTGAGCCCGAAGGGCATTGTGTTGAAGCAGAATGGGTCGTATGGTGTGATGAATGCCGTTGCGGCTTGGTCTGACTCTGCCATCTTTATTTGATGGTAGCCGGAGTATGCGTCGAGGAAACACAACGAATCGTGTCCCGCGGTAGCGTCGATAATTTGATCGATGCGGGGAAGTGGGAAGGTATCTTTTGGGCAAGCCTTGTTAAGGTCTTTGAAATCAACGCACAGACGCCAGATTTTGTCCTTCTTTGGTACCATCACCAGGTTTGCTAGTCAGTCCAGATGTTTTATATCTTTGATGAATCCGGCCTCTAATAGCTTGGCTAGTTCCTCTCCCATGGCCTATCTCTTAGGTTCGGAAAAACGCCGAAGAGCCTGTTTGACTGGCTTGAATCCTTTTAGGATATTTAAGCTGTGTTCGGCCAGCCTGCGTGGGATTCCTGGCATGTCTGAAGGGTGCCAGGCGAAAATGTCCCAGTTCTCTCGTAGGAACTCTCGCGGTGCGGCGTCTACATCAGGGTTTAACTGTGCCCCGATGGAAGCTGTTTTATTGGGGTCCGTTGGATGGACCTGGAATTTGACTATTTCGTCCGCCGGTTTAATGGAGGTGGACTTGGATCTTTTATCGAGTAGCACACCGTCCCTATTTACCGTGGAGCGCAGCGCAGTCAGTTCCTCAGCCGCTAGGGCTTCGGATAGCGCCTCGAGCGCCAGTGCGGCTGTCTTGTTTTCGGCGCAGAGTGCTATGTCCGGATCACTAACGAGAGTGATGATTCCGTTAGGCCCGGGCATCTTGAACTTCATGTACCCGTAATGGGGTATTGCTTGGAAGACTCTAAACGCTTCCCGCCCTAGCAGAGCGTGATATCCGCTACTGAATGGGGCCACCTGGAATGTGACCTCTTCGGACCTGTAATTATCCGGCGTGTCGAACACCACATCTAGTGTGATTTTTCCTGTACAGCGCGCTTCCTGACTGGGGATTATTCCTCTAAAGGTTGTGCTGCTTCGCTCAATGCGGCTCCAGTCTATTTCCATTTTTTGAAGGGTTTCCTAATAAATGAGGTTCAATCCGCTGTCGCCATTCATGAGTACCTTGGTAAGACGAAAGTCGTCCACTATTGGACTGAGGACCAATGCGGCTGGTGCACGGGCTATTCGGAATTTAGGTTCATCACTGGCGTTAAAAGTAATAGCCATGTCACTCCATGGGTTTATTGTTGCTACTTGGTAGACTTCGGCAAGGCCACAGAGTGTTCTTTTTCGTATATTATTTGATGCGAAAGTCTCGAAGACTATTAATACCGTACTGGTTTCTCTGGGGTGGCTTTTTGTGGCTTCTGGAATTAGAAGATCTTCGCCAATTTTTGCCACCTGCCGGAGTATCCAACATGCTCTAAGGCTGTGAGTTGGTGTGGCGCCCTCTGCACTGTAGATTTTACAGGGTCCATTAAGCCACCCTTCCAGTACGGTTCTGTGCCCTGTAGAGGGCTTTTGCTTTCTGGTATTGAACCCGGGTGTCTGGCGATGATGCACCCTTTTGTTTCGGACTAGGTTTGTATTCAGGGCCGAATTGTCCCAAAATTTTATTTCGGTTTTTCAGGCGCTTTCCATCGCATAGTACTTTCGTACTATGGATGCCAAGTCAGCGAAGCGTGTAATATCACGACGACTTATGGCGTTGAGAATTCCCTTGTCCGTGCAATTATTGCAGAAGAATAAAATTACGTCTTCCTCGCGGCAGTCCTTTATCCTGTTCATAACCAGGAGGAATCTGGCCCAGTAATGATATACTGTTTCTTCGGGCTCTTGCCTAATTTGGGATAGATCGCTTATGTACGGGTGGGTGGGCGGAATCAAATCCCAAACCTCACCCAATCTGAGACCCAGGGGCCAACGAGTTTCCGAACTCGGAAGTTTGGATTCTTGGATGCTGTCCAATGAATCTAGCCCGTCACCTGACTTTTAAGTTCAGGTCTTGAGTGATGTCCTCCCCTCCGCGGGTATCCGACTTGGAGGGATCGGGAATCCGGACATATCTAGTCCTTAAGATAGATGAAGGGTCGCCGCACTGTCCCTCTACCACGACAACGTGATGGGTGACCTGGGGGGAGTTAATATCTCTCAGATCGGGTTTAGATCCAATCTGGTCGTAATCCGTAGCGACTCCCAGGGCGGCGAAGCGATCCAAGAGCTCGTTTAGGGAAGAGAGCTCCATTGGATCTAGCTGCTCGGCGAATTCCGGGCTGGCGTGAAGATTGCTTTCGATGACCCGAGAGGTCATCATCGGCGCAGCAGCCGAACGGGTGGTCATAAGGAAACCACCTAGCCTGAGAGTCTGCCCGACAACCAAAGCTCCCTTAGCAACGGTGCCGTCTTTAAAGACGGGATGAGGCATCCTTCCTGATGGTGACGGCACAAAGGAACTCTCAATGAAAGCACCAATGTCGGTGTCAAAACCGGCGGATCTCGGGTAGGGGGTCCCGAATTGTGCGTCTAGGCCGGATGGTAACAGGAGGCAGGGGACACGATGTTTTACCCAGGTTCGGGCCCTCTTGATGGAGGTAAAACCCTACGTCCTGCTTGATTAATATTGATGATATGGGTAGTACAAGAGTAGATCTACCACGAGATCAGAGAGGCTAAACCCTAGAAGCTAGCCTATGGTATGATTGTTGTTCGTCCTATGGACTAAAACCCTCCGGTTTATATAGACACCGGAGAGGGCTAAGGCTACACAGAGTCGGTTACTATGGTAGGAGATCTACATATCCATATCACCAAGCTTGCCTTCCACGCTAAGGGAAGTCCCTTCCGGACACGGGACGAAGTCTTCAATCTTGTATCTTCATAGTCCAGGAGTCCGGCCGAAGGTATAGTTCGGCCATCCGGACACCCCTTAATTCAGGACTCCCTCAACGCGTCCAATGGTGCATCAATCCAGGGCGCTTTCCTAAAATGCTTTCAAAGCTGCCTCAATCAAAGGCGCTTTTCTAGGATGCCTTCAAAGCTGCATTGATCGAGGCATTTTGCTAAAACGCCACCTCTGAGCACGATTCTGAGGCATTTACAAAGCGCCCTTACAAAAGTGCCTTCGATTAACAACCGTGGTGCAGTGGAAGGCGCGGCAATTTTACCAATTATATCGTCGAACTCACAAATTATGATTTACAACATCAAAAAATGTTCGCGGATTAAAAAAATATCATGAATTTCAATAAATGTTCAAGGATTATACAAAAGTGTTTCAAATTTCAAAACAATTGTGGATTCGAAAAATGTTTGTGATTTTTGATAAATGGTCACGGATTTCAAAAAAATATTTATGAATTTGAAACATGCTCACAAATTTCAAAACAAGTTCATGAATTTCTAAAATGTTTTAAATTTCTAAAAATATTCATGGATTGAAAATATGTTCTTGAATCCAAAAAATATTCATGATTATGGGAAACACTAGAAAAAGAAACATTGAAAACATAGAACCACTGAGTGGGCCATCCCGTTTTCACGCACATGGATGCTCGTTTGCACACTATCGACCAACTTTTTGTATGTTAGAAAAGTGTTTGTTTACAAGATAATAGTGGAGAAAAAAATAAATCGATGGAGTGATGGGGGAGAGGATGGAAAGAAACCAGTCAAAAAAAAGGGACTAAAACGGTGAGACGAAAATATCATGGACACAGTCATACCAACTACTCTATTAGGAGTAGAGATTGGCAATGCATTTGTACTTACGATCGGTAGCTATTTTTGAGAATCAGCGGCGCAAAATTTCGTAAGCATGCTGGGAGCCATAGTTTAACGGCGAACCAAATGTTAGGCCTTTGGAGAATCTCAAACGATTTTATTCATAACATTCGGTACATTACACTAAGGAATCAGGACATACGCGGCACACTACCCGTCTCACACGTACACGCCACGCGGCACACCACTCGTCTCACACGTACACGCCACGCGGCACTCCACGTCTCCACCTTGACACGTATACACACCGTGGAGCCGTCGGCGCCGTCATTACTTGCCGTCGGCTGCCTCCTCGGCCGCGGCCTTGTCGCGTTCTTCCTGGACCCTGGCGGCGATCATGGCGGCCTCGTGGTCCGCGGCCTCGAGCAGGAAGCTGCCGCCCTCGTCGTCCACGGCGACCTGGAGCGGCTGGCAGCCGAGGCCGTCGGCGACGGCGAGCATGATGCGGCGCATCTCGCCGCGGAACTCGGCGCGGTCGACGGCGCCGCTGTGGTCGGCGTCGAACTGCTCGAAGACGGCGTCGTAGAAGGCGGCCACCTCGGAGGGGAGCGGGGCCGGCTCGGCGGAGCCGAAGCCCGCGCCGTCGAGGAGGCGGAAGGACTCGAGCGCGCGGCGGAGCTCGGCGCGGGAGAGCACGCCGTCGCCGTTGGCGTCGAGCGCGGCGAAGCGCGCGTCCACGCTGCGCGCGAAGGCCGCCTCGTCCGCCACGAAGGACCGCACCGTCGACCCGTCCAGGACCACCACGCTCATCTCGTCGTCGGTCGAACGCCGGCCCCTCGCTCTCGCTCTCGCTCGCCGCGGCAGCTCTGGTCGTGGCTTGTTGAGGATCTGCTGGAGGGTGGAGTGGAGTGGAGTGGAATGGAGACTTCCGACAGCGGATTTGATTTTTGTGTTGAGTTTGGCCTCTGGGAGCCACGTTTATCTGCTTGATGTGGTCGTCGGGTCATGCTTTGGGATATTTTCGCTTCTCCGTGTGCGTGCTGAGAGCACGTGTAGTGTAGTCAATGGTCAGTAGGTACTCAGTAGTCATTGTCACTCTTCAGCCTGGAATTTTTCTTGCCTCGCAAATGGCTTAGCCATGTGATCGCCGCACACCGTAACGACGCAGAGAGTGCCTTATCCATTGCAGGCTTCAAACAAGGACTCCCTGCATGATCTATCGGAAAGGTTTACCGCTGGAATAAAGTACCCAAAATATCATAAAGAATATTCCTAGACCACTGAACGACCATCGTCGCCGTCGAAACGTGCTGAAGACACACTTTGTCACCGCTCCCCTACTAGGACCAATTTGACATTATGGATGAAGGTCAGGAAATCTTCGAACACGTGTCTCTAAAGATCAGCGCCACAGGAACGTAGTCGTGGCCACTAAACCCTTGAAGATCCACTATGCCATACCTGCGGCCGACTCTTGACACCGGATCTGCTCAGCACAAGAAGCTAACTTCATCGCCCCGAGTCCCTGATAGGAAGTCATGAATCTGCATTGAAGCGCCCCCATCCCCAAGCACCCTCGACGTGAGAACCCAACAGAAACTATAGCAAAGGCACCATATGTGGTCGATTGCCATAATAATCACTGGTATGACGATCAACAATCAAAAAGTAGCTCTCACAGAGTCGTCAGTCGCGGCCACAAATTTTTTGAAGCTTGCTCCAAAAAAGAGATCGAGCATCTAAATATGAAGGTTGTGGAGGCCTCATTTGGAACTCCTCCAAACCCAACCGTCCGCGGGGGAGGGATCTTTCATCTTCTTCCTCCTCGCGCCACGGGCGTGTTTGAAGCGACGCTGCCAGCCGTGTCCGGCACTGAAAATCATCGTCAAGGGGGCCGACTTGACCACACTTATGGCAAGCTCACTCCATTGGATACTCGTGGCGGAATCATCGACCGCCAAACCACCCGCCACCACGGCTATAAAAGTTGGATGTTGTGGCGTCCCCATAACCCAACCCTAGCTGCCTCATCCCTCCTCCTTATATGGCCAGTTCCTCGCCTTTATCTAGCAATGCTAGCGCGCTGGGACGTAGCCTATCGGTCGAAGGTCCTCTCAGACAAGCACCTTAGTCCAGATCTCGGGCGTCGGCGGTGCTAACTCTGCCTGCGAAGCATTAGTCGTCGCATCCTCCTCCCGCCGAGGCCCACATGGCACTGCGGCTCCCATGACGGTGATCACGGGGGATCTGAAAACACTTGACAATGACCGCAGGACATCTGGCCCTTCTAGTGGTGCCAGTGGCTCCCATCATAGCGGGCGGCGTGGATCAAGCGCTTGGGGCCATCATCCCCATCAACGACAGTGTCGCTTCCGCTGTCCCCTAATCCCATTTGATCATGTCCCCATCGAGGCTCAACCCAAGCCCGAGGACCACACGACCATCGAGGCTCAACCCAAACCCAAGCGGAACCATGCGCCTTGAAGAGGAGTGCATCCGCGAGCGCTTTGGCCCCGCAATCGGCACAACGAGGAGGAGAAACTCACGGGCGTGAAAAAAAATTCAATTCCACTCTTGATTTCAAAATATTTTTGAAACAAAGTTTATATTATCATTTACAATTTTTAGGGCCAGTACTACTCGATCTTTAGTGAAACTGAGTGAGGTGTGACTTTACTTCAGAATATTCTGAAAATTCAAGATTGAATTTCACTAGTATACTTTCAATTGGGATATTTCAGAACATGTATTCAAAGTTTCAGTGAAAATGAGTGATATGTGACTAATATTACTGAGTTGGATAAGATTTTGAAACATCAACAGTGTCTTCTGAGTTGTGATATTTCAGAATATTCTAAACAGTTTTACAATGGTCTTCTTATCCGTAGAGAGGTAAGAGTTGTAACGAAACCTGGTCTTTGATTGTTGTTGCTTTCTATTGTGCAAAAAGATTATATCCGATGCTCTAGTTATTGCAACATGGCATAAAAACGGACCTACTACCAATGCACATTATTGTCTTTCATAAACATGCTTTATGGACGATGGATGACTCCAACAATTATATGTGACTGAAAAAAATCCAAATAAAATAGATCAATGGATTCTCATATTTTATTTTGAAGAAACTAGAATTTGACTGAAAACAAATGCACGTGTTAATTTTGTATGTCACAGTTCCATTCATATGTCAAAAAAAAACTTAAAACAAAAACTTGCACACAAATTGCAATTTTTATAATATGTAAGAATAAACATATAAGTGAAAATTTTGCATTCTACTAGAATTTAAACACATATTGTATGGAACTTGCATTTATGCTTACACAAAAAAACAAGATATAGTCTATAAAAGAATGAATTAGTGGCATTCGTATTACCCTTTAAAAATTGCAACAATAAAAAATTATTAATAGAAAATTTTGAACACTATTTACACATAAATTGCGCCTTTTTATAATATGAAAGGCTAAGCATATACTCTTAAAAGGTTTTCAAAGAAGGGATGAATTGATGGCATTGATATTACCATTAAAAGGATAGAAAAGGAATAAAAAACTAAAACACAATTTTCAAAGAAAATTCTAAGGAAAAATGAATTAGTAGCATTGGTATTACCCTTTATGAAGAAAAGGAAAAAGAATGACAAAATTTGCACACAATTTACAGATAAATTGCACCTTTTGTAATATGCAAAAATAGGCATATAATAGTGGAACTTTTTGCAAAAAATTTAAGAATTAATGAATTGTTGACATTGGAATTAACCTTATATAATGAAGAAAATAAAAGAAAACTAAAACTAAATAAAAAATGAAGTTTTCTGAGCAAGAAGGACTTAGTGGCATTGGTATTACAAGTTAAGAAAAAAGAAAATAATTATTAAAAAATTGCACATAATTTAAATATAAAATTGCGCTTTTTTATAATATACAAGAATAAACATGCAATAGTGGAGTTATCACAAAAACATATTTTTTCTAATAAGGAATGAATTAGTTGCTTTTGTATTATCCTTACATAAGAAAGAAAAATAAATAAAACTAATAAAAAATTGAAAATAAATAGTCCAAGGAAGAATGAATCACTAGCAATGGTATTACATTTTAAGAAGAAGTACAAATAAAGAAAAAACTTGCACACAACTTTGGACTGAAGTTGCACTTTTTGTGACATTTAAAGAATAAGCATATAATAGCGCAATTTTCACGGAAGCGGCTATTCTGCACCCGGGCTCATCTACACCCAAGTGTGAACAGTAAAATGAGAAAAAAAATACAAATATTCAAAAAAAAAAATCCAAAAACATTTGTGTGAAAGATTCTCAATTGCGTGAGGCTCGTGCAAAATTTCAGCTTGTTTGGACATTCAAGGAGCTCGTGGCAAAAAAGACAAAACTTGGGAGTTTGATAAACTTTTGAAACCAACATTGTTCACACTGAACTTTGCCTTTTCTGGCAGGAGCTTCTTGAATGTTCAAACAAGCTAAAATTTTGCACGGCCATCACACATTTGAGCATCTTGCAACACAAAAATATATTGTATTTTTTGAATTTTTTTCTTTTATTTTAGATTTTACTGTTCATCTGGTGTAGATGAGTCTGGGCACCGAATTGAATTTCTGAATTTTCACACTCTAGTACAGTTTACATACATAATGTATAGTACCTGTGGGTATACATTTACAATCACCCAACATCCCAAATATACCAATATAGGGAAAAAGGAAAGCTGGCTAAAAAAAGGGAAAAGAAAGACCAAAGCAAAACACATGCAAACAGAAAAAAAAAGGGCAATGGGTAACGAGCTTCAAGCCGAATACTAAAATTGACTGACCCAAGGGATAAGTCAAAAATTCAGGCAGAAAAGCCATGAAACACAACTAGGAATAAAAACCACATATCTTGACAAAAGAATAAACGTTTAAAATTTGACTTAACCAAATTTAAAACTCAGGAAATTTACATATTGCTAAAGTGTATTTGAATATTATTTGTCGGTGCCTTTCCAGGGGCAATTTCTTTTTGCCCATTTTGTTTTAGAAATATTGCCAAGTTAGTAATCTTTACCTCTTAGAAGGTGCTAATAAAACTGAGGCAATTTACATTTAGCAAAAGTGTACTTTAATGTTATTCATGGGTTCCTTTCCAGGGGCAATTATATGGCCCTTGGATAAAAAATTATAGACGGCTAAAATAGATTGGGACTATGTTAAAATTTCTCATTGTGAAACTTATTGATCGATTTTCATTTTCACATGGTTTTCACCATTTCACACTTTCATTGCCAAATCTGGAGCACGCCACTAGCAGCAGCCTCTGTAGCGCCTCAGGTGCTCCACAAGATCGTCAATGTACTTCTCCTGCCGCCCCTGATCCATGAGAACCTCTCGCAGCTTCATGGCGTTGCTGGCGAGCGCCTTCCCTTCCTCGTCCACCATGACGCGCCGCACCGCCGCCGCCACGCCGTCCCTGTCGAACGAGCCGTCGCCCTCGTCCCTCGCCACCTCCACGCCGATCCCCCTCTCCGCCATGGCGCGCGCCACGAGGGGCTGGTCCAGGACGAACGGGAGCATCACCCCACCTGTGGCACCCACCCGGTGCGCACCAGCCCTCTCCCCCGCGTCCGCTCCTCGAACCCGGCGGGCAGGAGATCGTCGTCCGTGACGGCGTCGATGGCGGCGCTGAACATCCCGGACGGCCTGCGTAGAGCCCACAGGAAGCGCACCCCGGCGAGCTCCAGCCCGAGCGCGAGCTCGTGCAGGATCCCTGGAGTCAGCGGCGCCTCGCTCCCCAGCGCGACGTAGATGA